GAAAAGTAGGCTTTTTAATATCCGTGAGTTTTTATTTTTTCGCACCTGTCCGCTCGGAATTTGGTTGGGGGTCAAGAAAATAACAATTTTTTTTTTTTATTTGCCCCCCGAAAAAAAAAACACCCAATGAAAAATAAAATTGCCTTTATTATTCAATTCAGGGTGCATTGTGAATGATCTATTTGTGTTTCGAGGGTGCAAAGTGCTATTAATTTGTTTCGAGGGTGCAAAGTGCCAAAATGGCATATTTCAAGGGTGCAAAGTGGAATTAAGCCTTGAATGCGACCCCGTGCGTACGATTACTAGTTAACTAGAAAAGAAAAAAATAAAATAAGACCCCACTCGTAGGCAAATGTAGTGGGCCAAAGCCCAAATTGAGTGTCCAATACCTTTCCCTAATTCCAATACTCATCAAACTTTCAAACCCACACTTTTTAAAAAGCAAAAAAAGTGATCCAATTTGGCCCACAAATAAAGATTATAAAATTAGTTTTTTTTTATTATTATTTAAATAATAATAATAATAAAAATACTTTGCTAATCATTTTAATCACTAAGTTTTAGGCTTTCATGGGATTGATGACCCACATGATAACTTCTTTAGTTGTGAAAAAAGTGTATTTATTCTCAATTTCAAATCATTTTTATATTATCTTGTCCCCCTCATTATTCATTTTTTTTTTATTCTTTATTTGTTACTTTAATTAATTTATTCTTTTATTTTTGTATTTTTCTGATAAATGAGTTTGACCACTTGATTTGAATGTGGAACCATTATCACTTATTATATATATAGATTGTTGCAATAATACTAAATAGGAATTTCATTTTAATTTTTTTAATGAAATTCAAGAATTGGACAACACATTTAAAGTACTTAGACCAAATTGTCTGCTGCAGAATTCAACTTATTAGACTGAAAAAAAAATTAATTGCGTCGGCACCCTTATTGTTTAATCTAATTGTTAAACAACCCTATTTATTATTTTTATTACCAATATCCCCTTATGAATAATAATTTTATTAAATATAAATCCATATTAACATGTAAGAACGAAAATTAAAAGAATATGAATTTTACTGCAATTAAAAAAGAATATATATAATTAGGGGACCAATGGCAGAGAGCTTCTATTATGAGTCACTCTTATGTTATGCTCTTTGTACTCTACTTCGACATCCACACTCACACGTCTATTTCATATTCCTCGTTTATTAAAATATATTTATATATCAGGACGAATTACTCGGTTCTGATGTAAGATTAAATTATGAAAAAATTCTTTTGACAATCACGCCATCAATTATGTATTTTTTTACACATTTATCCTTACCTTGTTAAATTTACATAGGGGTGTTCATCCGGTTGGTAAATCGACATAATCGAACAAAAAATCAGTACATGCCGATTGTTGAATTAGGGGTGAGCAAAAAAACCGAGAAACCGAAAAACCGAACCGAAAACCGAAAAAACCGTACCGATATGTACCGTCCCGACTTAAAACCGCATATACAGTAAAAAAAAAATTGAAAACCCGAAAATATCGGTTTGTGTATGGAGAATAAAAAAATTACCGAACCGATTTCCCGAACCGGACCGATTTATACAAAATGATGTCTTTTTGATATGTAGTATAAATACTTACCCTAGAGTGCCTCTATCTTTCGAGGGCCTCCATGTGACATGTTTTTCTATTAATTAATTTGGGTTGTGACGTGTTTTTTATTAGTTAATTTTCGGTTGTTATTTGTTAATTTTCTCAATTAAATATAACGAAAGTCCAAATATATCGGTTTTATGCCAAACCGATTCGAACAAATAGACGAAATCGAAATCGAAAATAAACCCGATTGATACCGAACCGTAATC